GTAGCAGAAGATCAAAGCAGAGACTGACAGGCCTCTCCTGTTGCAATGCTTCAGGGATAGATAATTTGAGTCCACTCATCATGGGAAAATAAGCAAAACCACCTTGTTTCAAGAATGTACAAGTGTGACTTGATGAACACTGCAATTTTTGTTAAATTGCTGAAGCAGGTCAACAAGGACATGCAATTAAAAAAAGAAAAATCTTGCTTGTTTGGGGCAACTGCTCTGTCCACACTATTCTTCCTTGCCAAGATAATGTGCAAGTGGAGTATCTGCCACCAAACTGCACTGCATTTTTTCAGCCTCTTGACCTGGGCATAATAAAAACTGTGAAAGTTCTTTACAGGAAAAATATTTTAAAGAAAATTCTTGCAAACATTGCATGTGATGAAAAGGATACTGACATTGACATCAAGCAGGCAATTGAAATGATTGCTTTTGTCTGGTCAATTAAATTTTTTCCTCATGCTCTGACATTGCAAGTGATGAAGAATATGATCTACTGAAAAAAGCAGAGGATGCATTGCCAGCAGCAGTGAATAATAATTTTGTTCAGAAGAATATCACTGATTTTTTCAAACAATCACTTGAGTTCTTAAACTGAAAGACAAGCCTGATTCAGAATATATGCCAATCTGAGCTGAAAAAAATTTTTCCAGTCATTTTTTTGAAAATCTCGTTATAACAAATTATCCATTATAACAAACTTTTTCTGTGGTCCCCAAAAGTTTGTTGTAATGAGATTTTACTGTATTACTTGATGTTAGACGCATAGTTTGTGTAATGCATCATATAAAAAAAACCAAGACCATCAGATAACTTGAATTGGAACCACATTAAAATTATTGCCAACCAAGAAAAGTGTTTTTCCAACACGTCTGGGTTTGATAACGCAGCTAAGCCTGTCTGATGCACCATATCACTCCTAATTTTGCAAAACATTTTTAAAATATGTGAACCAACAGGTGTTATCACAACAACAACAACAACAAAAAACGCAATTTTCTCAGCACTCTTATACCCAGGGCAAAGGGCAAATAATCCGCTTTCGATGCACTCAGCATTCACTTCTTCTTTAATTTTTGCTACACTGTCTCTAAATACTGTTAGATACAGATAACGCATATTAGGGTTCAACTGAGTTTAAATTTCTGACGCAAGCAGTGGAAACAGCAGCAGGTGTTTTGCTGTACATGATGGTACTGATACTGGACACCTCATATGTGATGGTATAAAAGCCGTTGTGGAAATGTTGTAGAATTCAGTCTCCAGTGAAGAGTGGTTTTGTAGCAGCAGCAGCAGCAGCAGCAAAAGCAGAAAAGCCGACTTTTATTGTTTGTCTCCCCGACGCAATCATCATCATCACCATGAAGCTCTTTGTCTTTTTCGCCCTGTTGGGGCTCGCCGCTGCTGCTCCCGTAAGATGTCGCTCCATCCTGTTCCTTTCCTCATTCTGCTGCTCCTCTTCATATAGTGTACTGTACAGCAGAATAACGATTTAAAATAAAAGAACCGGCAGAAAAACATTATCTAAAAAAAGGTGCCCTTTATTTGTCAAATTTTTAAAAAGGTAAAAAGTGGATTTTGGATTGAAGGTGTATATACTCAGCAATAGCTATTCCAGAATAATATTTTACATACACAAACTATAGTATCAAAGTTTCATCTCAGCAACTAAGCTCTGCATTTCAAGTTTTCCAAATATAAGGATCATTAAAATTTAATACTCTAAGAACGACTTAGGAAGAGGATGCTTGATTTTTAAAATTTTAGCATACACTTTGGAGAACTATTCTTTGTTTTAAAGGATTTCATCTAAAAAAAAAAATACTTCTAGCATAATGTATACGCATTTAAATTTTTGCATGAAACCCGAGATAAAAGTATACTACTGCTGTATAAAGATTTTTTTGCTAAATTCAAGTGTTAATTGAAATTGACAAATGAAATTGTCAATTTCCTGCGCTTTTAGTAGATCACATCAAATGCTTTATTGGTTTTATTACAATTAAGTAATTGTAATGATAAGGGTTTTTACACTTTATCATAATGGTTGATTTCAGATTTTTGAATCGTATCCCCTGAATTTTAGTTTGCTTTGCGAGTTTTATTTTAATTTTAAAATATATATATATTTGTAGAATTCGTAGAAATAAGTTATTGACATTTCAAATTTGTCTTTGGGATTGAATTATTACCTCTTGATTTTCTCGCTCATTACAATACATTAAATAGGGTCAAAGGACAGTCCTTGACACTCTCACCGAGTTGGGTCAGACCACCATCGTGGAACTGATCGAACTTGCCGGCCTCACTGATGCCTTGAATGGAGAAGGTGAGACATTTACTTGCAACACTCTTTTAAAGCATTTCCATATCGTATTTTAAGAGGAAATGACGTTCCAGGCTTGAATTATAGATCAGACTTTGTATAGTTTAGCCATCAGTTTTATAAACTATGAATATGGTCCTCAAGGAACGACATTTCTTTCGAGCCTCGAAGAATTCATTCATTCGTATGAGCGACATCTATACATACAAAGTATAGAGATTTTTGTTTCTTGTCTGGATACGATCACAGAGGGAAGTTAGAGAACAGAACGTGAATATGATGACTTGATGAGTGCTGTGCATAACGTGAATTTGCACACGCAAATACTGTACTATGTATGTCAATCTTTTTGGTCAGTCTGAATTTTGTTCAACTAAGCGCATATGTGTAACTCGAAATTTTTTCAATTGCTGCTTGATTCGATGACATAATACTGAAATATAAAATTAAAATTGATTGCACATTTGTTTATCATATTGGCTCAGCATACATTAAACCAAATGTTTTTTGCCCGCATTGCATATAAATTTAAATTTTTGCGTGAAATTTATAAGGGGCTGGTCATGTGAAAAAAATCCCGAAATTGCGCAACAAAGTGTTCTTTTAATACTCCAGCCTTTAAATCACACAGCACTGAAAATAAGGTGGGCCTAAGAGTGTATGATTTTCAATCTAACAATTTTCTTTGTTTCTTACAGGTCCCTTCACTGCATTCGTTCCCAAGCAAGAAGTTTTCGACAACCTGCCACAAGAGATCATTGATGAAATCACTGGTGATCTTGAACTCTTGGCCAAGGTGAGCTTTTGCCACATATGATAATCTATATAGAGAGTACCAATAGTATAAAATAAAAGCCTGCTCCCAATATTTTCTTTACAAGCTTTCAGAAAGTGTAAATAAAGGTGCTTGTCTCAATATTAAATTTTGATTGTGGCATTTGGAACTTTGAAATGACTGATGCTAATTGACTTCCTGAATATAATTTTTGAACAAATTAATGGGCCAAGAATTACCATATTTTACTTTGTTTCCATAAAATGATCACCTGAAGATCAATGAGTTGCAAAATTTGATCCGGACAAACAAACGGACAAGAAAGCAAGTTAATAAAAATGTGTTAATTAATAAAATCAATGAATTGTCCTACTAGACCTGCCAAGCGCTGAAACACGCGACACTCGACTTCGCGATTAAGTTTCGTGGAAGCGGCATTTGAGAGATTTTATCCGTAGATGTCGCTCTGTGATTACCGCTGCTAGTATACAATACTGTACCCGAATGTATTCAATATAATACTGTATAGGGCTTGACGTACCACGTTGCCCCCGGCACCTTCTTGTCTACTGATGCCGTCAACGAGGCCCTGATCCCGTCTCTGCAAGGAGCTGAACTCCGCATCAACATCTACGAAGTCGACGGAGAAACTGTGAGTGAAATTCAATCATCAACAATAACTTCATCCTTACTGAAAGCAGATATTCAATATACCGTATATACATATAGCAGTACAGCAGCAGGTATTCATAAATATTGGTTCATATGGAACATATATATATATAGGTTGCCACCGTGACTGGAGTCCCCATTGACCTGACCCAAGTGGACATTGAGGCATCCAACGGCATCATCCACTTCCTGGACTTCATCATCCTGGACGTGCCTGATTACAACACCGTCGACACCCTGCTCAACTTCCCTGCTGACTCTGGCTACACCTTCGAGGCCCTGGCCTTTGCTGCAGGCTCTGTGGACGCTGTCTCTGACGCCCTTGCAGGTACACTACTGTACAGTGTATATACACTCTGCATGTACAGTACTACATAAATATAAATACAGTGTATGAGCAATAAGATAAATCAGAAACTCATTTTCTTCATATATTCTTATAAGCATTCCATGGGCTTCCAGACATTTACAATATGGAGGTAAAGGAAACACATTTTAACATGCTGTTATAAAATGTGCTGATAAAAGCTGTTACACTAGCTTATTTATACTGTCCTATATGGATATGAGACAAGGACCATGATATATCAGTTTATAGATGTCACTGCTGCATGCATGATGGTAGCCACACATAAAACCACAGCTGCATGAGTGATATTGCAGAGTAAAAATAGAAGTGATTATATTCTTCAGCAAAAGGTTAAACAATTTTGTAGCTTTTGTCCAAAAAATATGTTTGACCATGTTTTGCAATTAAAATTACAAAAACACCAGGTTCTCAAATGAATGTGTTGGTAAACTATATTGTACAGTATACTGTGTATGTTTCTGATTTGTTGGCTGCTGGTGAGATCTCTCATCATTCCAACCTCCAAAATGTTTTTCAATCCATGTACATTTTATGGGACTATATCATTGCACTGCATATACATAAAGGTGGACTCTCTCAACAATCTTGCCAATAATAATGTTCTCTGTGCAATTAAATTATTGTTGGTACTATTATCCTATATGAGGATGCAGCATAAGCTAATGGTTTCTCTTTCAATCTTAAAAGGGATTCTCTGCAACAAAAGTCTGTCTGTACAAGTACATTCTTTTCTGGATGGTCCCTTGAATTTTGTTGTAGAGAGAGTCAACATAGATGTATAGTAGATGAATGGATATGGGAATGCCACATATGAATGATCTCATGCTGCATGTTCTAAACATATATTTATGGGATATGTATGTATATTCAGGAACTGACTACACCCTGCTGGCCCCTGTTGACTCTGAGGGCTTCACCGTGGCTGTGGTGGAGGAGTTGCTTGGTGACCTGGACTACATCACCTCTGTGCTGCTGGACCATGCTGCTTCTGGCACTGTCTACTCTGTTGGCATTGGTGCCCGCAAGGAGTTCACCACTGTTGGTGGAAACACCATTGTTATTGAATTCACTGAAGGTATGCAGCAGTTAATATTACACTTACATTGAATACAACACAGTATTCACTTCACAATACAGTCAACCCCCATCTAATGGACTTGATTTGTGCAAGGGACAAGTCTGTTAGACGAAAAGTCCCTTACACGAATTCAATTACATAAAAAATTTAAAATTTCAATTTTCAACACTAATTTTAAACCAAAAAAAGTCTTTTTGGCGGATTTTGTCTGTTGGGCTGGAGGAAAAACTGCTTGCAGAGCTGGTCTGTTTGGCAAAAATCCCTTACACGGGAGGTCTGTTAGGCGGGGGGCCACTGTATATTACACAGTCTTTTGGAAGAATAAGTGAAAGACTATTTGGGCAAATGATCCCTTGCATCCAAGTTTAGTATCTCATGTCAATTGCTTTAAGAAGCAATATTGAGTCCCATCAGAATATCACCAAATACAATTTCTGGCAATTATTCTTTCTTTCATTAAAAAATACTCATTTTTCTGACCCAAAATCTGCACCCTAATTTTGATTTGTTTTCTCATGCTTATCTCTTAATATTGAAGATTGACTTGAATATATGTTCAATTACTGTACAATTGATGATATACCTACACTATACAGTCAGCCCCTAAAGAACAGACCTCCCAAACAATGGGTTTTTGCACAACAGACTGCCTGATCTGAAGGCAGTCCCCCCATGCAATGGGCTAAATCTGCATAACAGACTTCTGTTGGTTTAAAATTAATGATAGAAAGTAGGAATTTTAATAATTGAATTTGCATAACAGACTTTTCACACCACAGACTATAGTCTTGCACAAATGAAGTCCATTGTGCAAGGGTTGACTGCTTAATGACTTGAATAAGGTGCTTTAATACTGTATAATGCATATCTTTCTTTTTTGCTCCTTCATATATTCAGACCAAGGCTTCATTGTGACTGACACAGCTGGCAACTTCTTGGCTGACGTGATTGCTGGTGACATCCCCACCACCCAGGGAGTCGTCCACCTGTTGGACAGGCCCATCATTCTGGCCTAAGCAGTAACACCTTTATAAAATAAAGAAACCAGGTCGAATTATTACCGTGACTGCTTTATTTTTGCCATCATCAGTGTTCCGCGTAGTCATGTTCTCTTTTCCTGGAGACCGGAAAATGAGTGACGCGAGTTGTTGAATGAAAAATGCAACTCTGGCCACAAAAAAAGAACTGTTTTTTTTTCTTCAACTGCTTCATGTAGCTATTGTAGCAGGAGTTCATCAACTGAGTGACTGCAAAATTTGAGGAACATTTGAGGATATTGCAGCATATATATATATTGTTTGTGAACTATTTTGTGCCAAACAGTGTCAAATGGGAACCAAACTTTCCTTGTGTACCTAATTATTTGGCATCAAGTTTGCATGTATACCAAATCATGATGTCCAATAGTTTTGGTCAGCAGGTTTTGAGCGAGTCCAATCCAAAAATACCTAAACTTTTTTTGTGACAATTCCACTCCAGAAAGTGTGCAGTTTAGCTTAAATACACATGAAGTCTGCTTAAAAATTTGTTGGTAATGCAAGTTTCCTTTTGAAGGAGGGATGGATTGCAGTTTTTCACATTGCATCTTATGGGGTTTAAACTTTAAAGCAAGTTCCATCCAAAAATCCTTTGAAATTATTCTTCATAAGCATCATTATACTGCAAGAAGTGGGCAGTGAAGCTTAAGTGCATCAAGTCTGCTGAAACATTTGTTGAAAACAGCTTATTGAGACAAATTATGCTTTCAAAAGTTTATGGATCACAGTTTTTAAGCATTCTTGCGTTTATACATATATATGTATTGAAGGTGCAATATACATGTACTTTTTCTGCAAAAATAAAGATGAAAGCCCATTTCCCATATGTTTTTAGCATTACCCCATCATCAGATGCAATAATTGAATTAATGTGCTGTCCACGCTTTTTCTAAGAAAATGATGACAAATGCCCATTTTCCAGAACATTGTGGACCCCATTTGAGATGACTGATGTTACTGTATTTACTTGAGTACCATGCGCCCTTGAGTAAGGTGCCCAGAGGGGTTTTTCAGTTGGAAATTTTGCTAAAATTGTATCCCTGAGTAAGACACGCACCCGAATTTTTCGTGAATCTGACACCACAAAATGTTGAAAATAGGAACGAAAAATTGACTTTAGGCATGAATTGAACAAAAACCTCATCAATTTTCAACTTTTTCAGTACAAATATGTTTTCTTGTTACATTTGCTCCAAATTGATCCATTGTAAACAAATATAATGCACACATAACTTTCTAAAACTTCTTGAAAATTGTTTACCCTCTTATGATGCACACCCCCTTTTTTCTTCTGAAATTTGGGAAAAAAGGTGCACATAGCACTTCAGTAAATACAGTAAATCTGCAATTTACTTTTTTGTGCAAAACTTCCTGATCTTACTGTTGATTTTTGTTGCATAAGTTTTCAGGGAAAATAATTGCTTTTTTGAAATACTGCCCCTTACTCTTAGGATGTCAGTCATCTGACTTTTATCTGTTGTGAAATAGAAAAATGAAAAATCAGGTTTGCTTTCTAGGTTTGCTCTGACTTTCACTAAGTATTGTACAGCCGATAATCTTATCTAGTATGTACTTTGTCCAACATAGAGAAAATCAGTGAACTTGTACTGTATACTGGAGTGTGTTTGTTTCTGCTTTGTCAAATCCCTCCTTCCCCCCCTCTGCCTTGCTCAAAAACTTGGTTTCTTTTTCACTACAATTTTCTGATTTGGTTAAAACACATTTTGGTTTCAATAATTTTCGCTCATGCATGATTTCAAAGAATGGGGTCTCCTTTTCTTACAATAATCTTTTCATGATGAAATATATATGAAGATCAATTTTCTGATGAGTGATGGATTTCGCATTAATTTCCAATGAAATTTAATTAAGAAACGTTAAACAGAGATGTAATCGACAACAGCAAACGGGACTGCATTTCCAACAATAACTTATTCCGCCAACAGAAGAAGAAGAAAAAGAAATCTGCTGGAAGAAAACTCATGACGGACAAACACAGCGCGTATGCGGAATAGCTTAGTGGCGACATCTCGTCGTCAAAGATGATGATGCCCAACGGCTTTCTTTCCAATAAAGAAAGAAGAGTCCCCTCTTATTGTCGTCCTTATATATTGAACCCAACTACTACGGCTTGCTTTAGACCAGGATGGGCCTGTCCAACACATGCAACACTCCTTGCGTTGTTGGGACATCGCCGGCCACAAGATCGGCCAACTCGTTGCCAGCCTCGTCACTGATGACGTAGCCCTTGTCTGTGTGGATATAAAGTAAAGCAAACCAATAAAATAACCCCCACAAAAAAGGTGGGCAAAATACTATAAAATCTTTGAGGGTTTGGTTTGGTAAAAAATAAATAAAAGAGTTGATACAGTAATACTAAGAAACTCTTCTATCCTGATGAGCTTGCTTATTTCAAGTCGATTTTGATTGGCCAAGAAATTTATTTCGAGTTTTTATCAAGTATATGAAAGTGCATGAATGGATTATTCATACGCATTTTATATAATGCTATACAGTATATAGTTTGCTTCTGATGAACAGGATCAATTCATTATATAACCACTCATGATTTCTTGAATTATGTATATCAGTATCAATTAATAAGATGTAAACCTTTCTTTGAAGAAAAAAAGAGCAGCAAAGTAGAAAAACCTTTTTCTGTATATTATCCATCATAATTGTTCCCCGTTTTTTGTTTGAATAATTACTAGCTAAAATAACCATCAGAAGGTTTCATTTGCTGCTCAAGTAATATTTAAAAGAAGAAAAGCACAAAAGTGTCATTCTGGGGCAAATTCCATGGACTTTTGAATATGAAACTTTTGTCCATCATGTATTATTATTGTACATACAGCTTCTATATATACAGCAGAATCTTGTTACAACAAATCTTATCCTCTAAAAAAAAGATGCCTACAAAAAATATGTGTTTTCAGTCCCTCCTGTCATTTAATAAGCAAATACAATTTACTGCATAATATTTTTATACAACAGATTAACCCTTTTTTAAGATCCAAAATTCTTTGAAGTAACACTATATTCTACTCTTATTGTAAGTGGACAATAAGAATGCAGTTTGGAGAAGAAAAAGGCCAAACTATACCTGCTGTGAAGGACACAACCAAGTTGTTTCCATTGAGGGTAGTGAAAGTCTTGCTCTCCCCAATGCCAATGGAGAAGATGGAGCCATCAACAACATGGTCCAAGAGAATCCCAGCCACAGCTTCTGGGTCTTCCAGCAAAGAGTTGACAATGTCCACAGAGAAATTCTCTGAGTCCAGTGGGGCCAGCAGAGTCACATCAGTGGCTGTATTGTCAATACATTAACAAGTTGGTGTATAAATAATGTAGGTCATTCAATCATATACAGTGTGTATATTATTATTATACAGTGCTGTACTAGCTTCTCTCTCAGAATTCATCAAAATGATCAGGAAAGTCATAGTGCAAATGTCTTTCCTCAATTTGCTTAACAACATTACTCCAATATTGAAATTTAAATGGTACTCAATGAATGTGGAAAATTGGACTCAGTACCAAATATGTACAATTCTTTTCAATTGTTTTTGTGTTTAATTAGAGTTGTTAGACCCTCACCACCCTGGATGGTCTCCAGGAGGTTAGCACCAATGGCAGCCGTAGTCAAAGCCTCAAATGTGGCCCCAGGCAAAGAAGAGAGGGTGCCAACAAAGTCTTGAGTGGGAATGTTGA